AAAAAAAAAAAAAAAAAAGAAGAAAACAGAACACAAAGAACAGTGTTTTCGTCATCTCTTTTGAGCGTAGGTGCCCATGCCTCACGACTTGTCCACCTAATGGAAAATGTGCGGCCGAACAGTCATGCGCACTCGCAGGCCGCTTATGCACCACAGGCAAAAGATAGCCTGCATATTTGGCAGCTTATAATTTCATGCCAAACATGGCTGAGAGACATTCAGCCTTATGGTAAATGTAGAAAAGTGGCTCAGCAGGATACACTCCATACCTCAGGCTACGCCATATTATCACATTTTGTCTTAGTGGATATAGCGTCGTGGCTGGTTGATCAATGAGCAGCCATCGGGCAGCATAAAATGCAGAGGGGAGTTTTATATACTGGGACCTGCCCAACTTAACTTCTTTGGTGATTACAGGTTTTTTATTCGCCACAAAATGAGCACGTCCCCAGTAGCGTCAGCACGTTCTGAAAACATCGAAGACCCTCATGATAAAACCATTCGCCCACCGTCGTTCTCCTCGCGGTCAATAAAACGGTATCTCAAGACCAGATTCACTACTCTTTTCGTGTCTAAAGAAGAAAGAACAGAATACACATGGGGAGATATTCTCAACCCTTTCAAAGAGCTCAAGCACATGCAAATCATGCATTGGAACTTCTTCCTCATGGGCTTTGCTGCATGGACATGGGACGCCGTGGACTTTTTTGCCGTCACTTTGAATGCAACCGACATCGCTGAAACTTTGAACAGGAGCGTCAGCGACATCACTTGGGGAATAACTTTAGTTTTGATGTTGAGGTCTGTAGGAGCTTTTCTTTTTGGGTATTGGGGCGACCGCAACGGGCGTAAATGGCCGTATGTTGTCAACTTCTCGCTCTTGATTATCTTGCAGATCGGCACTGGCTTTGTCCAGACCTATGAGCAATTTTTGGCCGTACGTGCCCTCTTTGGTGTTGCCATGGGTGGTATTTACGGCTTTTCTTTGGCAACGTCTTTGGACGATTCTCCAACCAGCTGCCGGGGCGCCTTGTCTGGCATTTTCCAAGAGGGTTATGCACTTGGCTTCCTTTTTGCAGTCATTTTCAACAGGGCGTTCACCAGCAACTCGCCTTTTGGGTGGAGATCTATCTTCTGGTTTTCGGCGGGGCCTCCAGTATTCTTTATTGTTTGGAGATTATGCCTTCCTGAAACAGAGGCTTATCTTGTGCAAAGAGCAAGTTCCGATGCAAGAAAAAAGCACGAGTCGGCTACCAAATGGTATCAAGTTAGTAAGAGCACCAAAACTTTGTATAAGACCTACTGGCTCACAGTGTCGTATTGTGTCTTGCTAATGGCAGGGCTCAATTTCATGTCTCATGGCTCTCAGGACTTGTATCCTACGCTTCTCACACAACAGCTTGAGTACAGCGACGACAGATCCACCGTGACATTGTGCGTGGCTAATTTAGGAGCTATATTTGGCGGCACGTTTTGCGGCCATGTGTCTACATTTATTGGAAGGAGGTTGACCATCATACTTGCGGTGCTTTTGAGTGCTGCCATGGTGTATCCCTGGGCATATCTCCGGAATTCAGCGATCAACGCTGGTGCTTTTTTTATGCAAGCAGGCGTGCAAGGCGCATGGGGCGTGGCACCGATTTTTCTTTCGGAGCTTTCACCACCAGCTCACCGGGCTTTGGTAGTCGGCTTATCGTACCAATTAGGAAACTTGGCCTCTTCGGCATCTTCCACTATCGAGTCCAAAATAGGCGAGCGGTACCCCATCACCACTGCGTCTGGCGAGCAGGCATTTGACTATTCCAAGGTGATGAGTATCTTCATTGCCACTGTGTTTGCCTATGTTTTGGTTGTGACATTGTTTGGGCCCGAAAACAGAGGTGCCGATTTTAGTGTGGATAGGGATGAGATTATGGGGGACGATATTGAGGATAAATTTTCGTACGACGAAAACACTCAAGAGCATTTGACATTGAAGCGAGACGAGGGTTCTGGCCGCCTCGTGTAAACAAAGATTTCTTTCTGTTAGATAAAGTATTCAATATTGTTAAAGCATTCAATTTCGAGAATATGAGCACAATTTTCTGGGATGAAACCCCCCGCTTATTGATCAAACCAGCCGTGGTCATATTGGATCGATCGCGATTATTGAGGTGTATATATAATTCAAAAGAGGATTACCAGAATCTCACAAACATATGATTACTCTCAATTGGGTCAGTCTTTATGTGACTTGAATATCTTTCCTTGATCAGTTGCGTAAAATTTAGACCGTATGTTTTCGATGCCCAAGGTAATACAAGTGGACACTCCATAGTCATAGCTAATATAGAGTAAGGATATCGCGCCGCAGCAAGACTGGCACGAACAAAAAGACAGTCTCTTGGAAAATAAAGAAATAATTTCAAAAATGGACGAGCCTGCAGCTTCGATTTCGTCTCTAAGTAATATGACACGGTCTTTCTCCAAAAAGCACAGAGACTCCGTCCTATCCGTTCAGGTCCTCGTCACATGACATGGATTCAGCCGCACCATAATATTACTTCAGAAGGAGGCATGGTTGTGAATTAATAAGGAAGAAACACACCAGTTCGATTACTTCGCTTTCTTCCTTCGCTGTTGTCTTCTTTACATTTCTTCTTCTTTTCTTGTTTTTATGCACTGATTAGTATTAATCCAATCAGGATGGTTGTGAGTAAGCTAAATCAATTGCAGCCTGGCTCTGCATTCTGCTGACCCGCGCTAGGAAAGTGCGTTCCTGGCCATGACAAATGCACATGCCATGATTGGCTGGGACTCAAGTCAGCTTGGCCCTGGTTTTTCTGATATGTGCAGTCCTTTGACACGCAGAGATCACCCCACGCTTTCTGTGAACCTGTCAAGATGCTATAAAAAGGCTGCCAATTCTCCCCTTTTTCTATTGTTCTTCGTAACACACATACACCAGCATATTGTCTCTGTTTCTGACTTCCGACATATTTTGTACTTATATCTACACGGCATAGATAACCAAAAGATTCAGCTTCTCCTTCTGTTTTTTTTAAAGTTTTGCAACCTTCAGGCGACATCTCTTTCATACCAACATACATCAAATTCCAATAATGGCTTGTTCTGCTGCTGAGTGCGTTTGTGCAAAGAAGTCCACGTGCTCGTGTGGCAAGCAGGCTGCTTTGCACTGTAACTGCGAAAAGGCTCCTGTTGAAAACGCCCAGCCTCCTAAAGACGGATCCTGCGCTTGCGGCAAAAGAATGAAGGGTCAATGCACCTGTGGTGTCAGTGAGGCCTCATGTGCCAGAGAAGGCGAGGTCGACTTCACCGGCGCGTAATCTACATCTTTGTTGCGACGCGATTTGATTGCCGTCCGACCCTCCTCCCAATGAGTGAGCCTTAACAACCAACGAAATGCTGCACAGCTCAGTTTTCTCATAATAATGTCCACTTAATAGCTAATATAAAACATGAGCCTCATGATACAAAATACACGTAAGCTTCTTGTGTGTTCAGAGCTTCGTTCAGGAAGAAGTGAATGTCTGTCACGTGACTTAGTCACGTGTTGTTTACGAGAACCGCATTTCCCCGGGTTCCGACGCCACCGTCGAATAGTTTACCACCACCACACCTTTCATGCCACGATTATCCGGACTCCAGAGAGAAGTCCTTAAGTTGTACAGAGAATGCACGCGCTCTGTTAATACGAAGCCCCGTGAATTCCAAGACAATTGGCGTACGTATGTTCGTCTGGAGTTCGCGAAATATCATCACCTTCCGAAAAAGTCATTTAGCGTCATCGAGCACCTTCTTCGGGTCGGCCGTCGTCGATACGAAATGTATCTGGACCCAAACATCAAAGACGTCCATTGAGGTCATTTCAGATGCTCCCTTTGTTACGATGAAAGCTTATTCAGTGTTCCTCAACATAGTCAGAGAAAAGAGTGTCAAAGTTTGAGAAAAGCAACTCTGTTGCCTCATTTCGTGGTCCCATGTCCATCATTTCTCGTTCTCCGGTGACATCTCTGGCTATAGTCGGAGCAAATACGACCGAAAGATTCTTGTAGGTCATTCTGTTCACATTGCTGTATTGATTGACCTTGTTTAGGTGTTTGACAATCATGTACATTGTGTGCTTGTTCGCAGGAGGTAGTCTGTTGATAATGCGAGTTTTGAACTCATTGCAAAGTTCACTTGCATCTGCCTTACGCTGTCCGATCCGCACAAAAGCGTCATACGAAGCAAATGGGACCAAAGGATCTGGTAACTTCCGAAGGTACCTTTTAAATGCACTTGTAACAGCATTAATGTCACCACTGAGAACCTCATTAAGTTTGGCCATTTGTTTCTTCTCTTGAACTCCGTTTGTGGATATTCCGGCGAAAGCATGTTCTATCGCGCTGATAGCTGTGTTTCCGCCACTCAACCTGTAAATACCTTCCATATCCAATCCACGTTTTTCAACTTCCTCAATGCACTTGGTTATAATCAACGGGACCTTTTCATTTTCAAAAGCAGCGCGTCTTTGTAACGTTGAGTTGAGGAGCGGAACATCCGTGTGGCCCTTTCCATTCGAGCCATTTCCAAATAAATCGATGTTTCCCGAAGAACGTGATTTGCCCGTCAAGCTATTCAATGCTTTTCTTGGCCCAGAAGACTCATCACCAATCGAGCCTTGACTTTGTGCTGGTGCCATGCTTGACGAAAGGAGTTGGCCTAGTTTGTATGTGCTAGAACTATGTGGTATGTTTCCATTCGAGGGCAGGATATGTGTTCCAAGACTCGGGTGTTGCTGAGCCTGTGTGTTCGTTATGGTTACCTTGGGACGACGCCAGAACTTGAGCCGTGTCGCTTTTTGGGCCTCTGCTCCTTCGTCATTGATGGATTCCAACACATTGTTTGACTCAAAAGTCTCGTTGTGGTGGTCGTATGCTTGACTAGCATGATTTTCTTTCGGCTCGCGTATCAGCTCGCGGCTACGCCACGTTGATTCTTGGAGATTCTTATTCTCCAAAATGAGGCTTTCATTTTCTTCCTTCAACTTACTTTTCTGAATCGTAAGCTCTTTCACTTCAAGTGAGAGAAGTTCTTTCGCCTGCGTGTCCTGGGTAACACGTTTCAGTAGTGTGTTCAATGCTTCGAGTAGTTTGCTCTTATCGGAGTTCAACTTCATGTTCTCCGCTAGCAAAGCCTGTCTTCTTGAGTCCAACTGATAAATTTCGAACTTGATTGAGCGCATCTCGAAATCTCTCCGCAGTGAATCGTTCTCTAGGTTCATCATGAAATTGGTGTCAGATGTCGACCTTGTGTGCGAATCTCGACGGGATATTTGAACCATCGGTGAAGTTAACGGTAGTGGAGGGGTCGTGAAGGCCTGGCCATTGAAAGAGCCCTCCAGGGCGTGACGTGTATGTCCCTTTGATAAATCTGGTTCATCTTTCGATTTGAACATCCCCAATTTGCCGGATAGTCCACCACCCAGACTGCTTGATGTAGAACGTTTGTGCCTATTCAGAAGTAAGTTTTTCACGCTTGTCTTACGACTTGGTGGGGACTTCTGGAAGTCGTCATAGTCTGGTTCTTCTCTTTGTAAGTTTTCTAAGTTAGTCACAGTCGGTGTTGCTGACTTCAATGTGCGGGTTTTTGGCAAGTCAAATCCCTCAAGCCCCAATCCTTTTGGTTCACTCATTTCACCCAATTTTTCATGGCGCTGTTGCATTTCGGGTCCATTCTGTTTGGGTGTTAAGGGTACACCAGGTAACATGAGATGTGGTGCAGGAGATGATAGATGAGGTGACTTGCTGGATGTCAGTTTTTTCTTTGGAGTAGATAAAACCTTCTCGTTTTGTTGGCGTGCTGGGCTCTTAGTTTCCAGACCCAGGTCAGTGTTTGAGTTTTTATCGTTGGTCTCGACCACACGTGCTTGGCGATTCACTTTTGCCATTGGAGATGTGATAGGAAAGTTTGAGCGGCGCTTTTCCTCTGGAAGAACAGAAATAGGTTGTTCATCATGGATGTTGTCTGCATTATGAAATTCATTGTCATGAAACTGATTTGGAGAGCGGAGAAGAATATTTTTGTGCGGCGAAGCCTCAGTCGTCCAATTGCGAGACTTTGCAATCTCTTGCCTCATTACTGGTGCTTCGCGAGATGAAAAGCTCGAGACGTCGTTCTGAACCTGTTCCTGGTTTGCCTGCCGGGCTGAACCAGAAGACCCGTTAGTCTCTGGGTGGTTGTATATGGTGGACGGAGTGTTCGGTGCCGAGAAAGAATCAATCAAGTCTAAGATTGCGCCATCAGGTTCGTCTGACTGTTTCATGAAGCGGCGTTCTAAGTTCTCTCGCACTTTGCGGAGGTGAAGCTCATCATCCGAATCATTGACTTCCTCAATGTCATATGACGGGTTCGGGTGCAGGGTGAAAGGCGTCTTGGGGAACACCAGGCTTAGAAGCTTATTCTCAGTGGTCGAAGCTGACTTTTGTTTCAGGCTGGGGGCGGGGGACATCAGATACGAAGCCTGTGACGTCATTTCCGGCCCATGAAGAGCAGGCGAAGATTCGATGGTTGTAGAGGAAGATACAGCCGACGGCGTGGTTTGGGCTAGTGAGTCCGTGGCCGAAGGAGATGCCCCAGAGCTCCTTGACTCGGGGTGGGGTGGAAGCAGTTTGTTGTGAGTGGAAGACAGCGAAGGATTGGGGTGCAGATACATGTCGTGCTGATTGGTGTGGGGTGACCCGCTCGTCGTTGAAAGACGGGATGAAACCGAAGAGACGTTGAGCAGGGGGCTCAGGTCTTCGCTCGGCAAGGGCCGCAGCAGCAGCATAAGCAGAGCCAACTGTTTCCGCTTCAAGTCGTGCTTCCGCTTCTTGGCAATGAGGTCCTCGTGGCACGACATGCAGAACAAGCCTTTGGAGGTCCGGGCGTAGCGCAAGTCCTCGATCTTGACTTTGCATACACGGCACTTGAAACAACTGGAACAGTACGCTTGGTCGCCCGTTAGGATTGCCAAGTCGTCGATCTTCTTGCCGCACTGTTTGCAGCTATAGGAGCAGTTGGAGCACACAAGACTACCGTTCCCCAAGACCAAGAAGTTGGAGTTACAGCCAAGCAGCGTCTCGCATTTGAAGCACTTGAAGCAGCCAATGTGCCAGCGATCCTCGCCAAGTTCATACGCGTGGCCCTCGAAAATGGCAAGGTTGCATTTCTTGCATGTTTGGAGAGGGGAGTCCTGTGAGACTGCCAGCACTTCCGACATTTTGTGCTTTGGATTGAGGCAGAGTGGACCGGCGATAACAAAAAAAAAAATAAAGGTGTTTCCTGGTGTCGGCTTAGAACGCGTATGTTTTTCGTGATCTGGAGAGGTGCGTTGAGCCCGTTTCAGCGAAGTATTTTGAGGGGCCGGATGATCGGGTTTTCTTGCAGGCAGGCGCGCAGCGAAGCCAGCAAGGGGCACGTGAAGGCGCTTAAGCGCTTAAGCGAAATGAAGGCTGTAAAAACAGGAAAAGGCGGATAGCCAGATACTCGCCACTATTCAATTGGGGATGGGGACACGCTCTCAACGAACCTCGGAATTTGCTGTGGACAAGCTGCCGAAAAAATTTCACGATGGAACAGGCGGGAAAGTGGGGGCACCACTAGTGTGATATGCTTCTCTAATTGGAGAAACCGCAGGGCGGTTGAAAGGCCCGGTGCACGACACGTAGCGACAATGGAAGGAGCAAAACCTAAAGCTGGTAAACAATAGGATTTAGAGAGAATAATAGGGGAGTTTTAGACAACATTATATACAAACTGGTGCCGGCGAGGGCTTGGCCGAAATAGTTGAGGAAAGTGGGCTGATGTGATTTTCTTGTGAAAATGTGGAGGAAGAAAAATAGGGGGCTGATATTGCTGGAAAAACGGAAAGGGACATATGGTGTGAGAAAAGAGAAGTAAAGCGCGGGAGCGCACCCCGATAATGGGGGCTGACGGTTATGTATACGAGTACGTGCGCCGAGGGTTGCTGGCAAACGTGGAGTGTGGATGTGGCTGCGAAATGTATTTGGTGTGGAGTGGCTAGGGCTTCTCGGATATGGCGGAGGAACGAGGTGAGCGAGAGGCCTGCGGAATACAGCACGGCTTCCCGCGAATCATAAATAGGGCGGCCAGTTCAAAAGTGAAGTGGCGTTTGCGCCAGCGGCAGCAGGACGCTGGCACTCGAACAACGCCAGTGGCTCCGAGGATATAGCTTGAAAGTTCTGATGTGTACTCAGATGGGCACGGTCAGCAGGTGAGCTGGATGCGCTTTGCTTTTGGTTGGGGCTGAAGCACGCCTATTAGCGGTATGCGGCGGTGTCCGTGAAATTCAGTTGTGATGGGTGACGACAAGTCAGGTGTCAATATTCATGTCAATGCACCAAGTCAAGATGTCAATGCACCAAGGCAGGATGTCAGTGCACCAAGGCAAGATGTCAAATGAAGGTGTCTGATCGTGCGTCAAGGCAAGGGTACTAACCAAAGCGCCAAATGCAAGATCTAACCAAAACGTCAAGGCAAGGTATCGAACCAAGACATTGAGTCACTATGTTTAGTCACAATGTCACTGCACGATACGAGGTCACGATACGAAGTCACAGCTTCAAGTCGAGACTCTCAGTCGGGGCTCTCAGTCGGGATATCTCGTCAATGCTTCATGTCAAGATACCTAAACGGGACAACCAAACAAGAGGTCGTCCGCCATCTAGGCACAGTGGCCAGCGCTCTGGAGAAAACGCTTTGGAACAAGAAGCTTTCACGCGGCAAGGCATACGCCCAAAGGCCCCAGCGTCCCCAGGCCTGTCTTCATTTGGCAACGCTCGATCAAGGCTGGAAGTCGGCAAGCTGCTTGTCGGGCGTCTTCTCGATGAAAAGATCGTCGACGCCCAGCCAATCCACGTGTATCAGCCGGTGGATGTCGGTGTTTTTCAACACGTGCTCGCGCTCGCGCTGCCAACCCTCCTGCTTGTCTTCGAAGCCTTGTCCCCACGACTTGTCATAAACCTTCTTGATCTTGGCCTGCTCAGCCTGCCGCACCTCCTCCAAGGCCATCCACTCCATGTGCTTCAAGTCGTCTGACGACGGCTCGTAGATGTGCCAGATCACGTAATGCGGCAAGCCCACCACGGAGTAGCCCATGCGCTTGCTCATCTTGCCAAACGCCTCGGTCTCCGCGTGCTTTTCGAAGGAGAACGCCGGGAAGTGCGAGCCCGTGCGGAACACCTTGGCCTTGGTCAAGATGGACACGCCGCCAATGCCGTCCAAGTCCATCTCCACCTCCGGGTCGCCGTACGGGTCGCGCAAGTACGCAAGGTGCGGCCGCCAGGTCTGGTACTCTACATAGCCTTCGACGATGCACGCGTCCTCGTCCAAGGACTCGGCCAACTGGAGCCCGCCATCGGACTCCTGCCACGAGTTCAAGTCGTAGGGCTGCTGGTTGCCCAACCAGTCGGGCAAGGGCCGCCACACGTTCGGCACAATCACGTCCTTGTCGTGCTGCATCAAGTCCTCCAAGATCGTGCGTGGCATGGTCTCCACGTCCGCGTCTCGCCAGTAGACGTACAGGTGGTACGGCTTGATGGCGACGGACCAGAGCCAGTTCCGCGCACGGGCCATCAACTTGCGCCGCGGGCCCTGCGCAGCAAAGCCGTGCCTGTCCGAGAACGACTGGCCGATGATCTGGCCAAAGTCCTTCTCGAAGATCTCGATCTCGCCGAAACGCATGGCCACGTTGGCGTCGCTCTGGATCTCGTTCAAGTGCCGCAAGAGCTCGCCGATGGTGTCGTCGCTGGAGTCCGAGACCAAGAACGCCAAGTCAAGTGGTGGGGATACGTCAAGTTGCGCATGTGGCCGAAGAACATGGGCAAGTGCGCCGCGGCGTCTCTCAAGGGCACGCAGAAGAGCACCCGCTCCTCCAGCTGCCAGCCGGTCGGCGTGCCCACATAGTGCGCCAAGTCAAAGAACGACGTGCCGGGCGTGTCGGCGAATGTGGGCACGTAGAAACTGTTGCGGGAGACGAGCGCCATTTGCACGAGCGAGACGAGCGTCAAAAACGCCGCCACGACGGCGACCTTGGCCTTGTGTTGGATAAGCCCGGCAGAGACGCTTTCGTGCGCCCACGCGCTTTTCACCCGCGTCCAGAAATCCGTCGGCTTCGTTTTTTCCGTGTACTCATATGGCGTCATCTGGATGATCTGGGCCATGTCGAGCGGTGGCCTGCGAGCGGTGCTCTGTTGGAGTTACTGGCGGAGATGCAGAGAAAGTCTGCTGGGATGTGGCAAGACCGCGTGCGGCAAAAATGAAGGAGCTGCCAGCAAAGGAGGAAAAGGCGGCACGGCGTTTCGTGCAGAATGGGCCGTATACGGTAGTTCGAGAGATCCGCTTCTGGTGTGAGGCCTTCGGGGACATCAAGCCCTGGAGCGACCCGCGAAAAAACACGGCTACTCTGATGCCGGTGGCATCTGCAGGAGCTCGTCCCGATTCGGATAGTCTTGTTTTGCATGGTGCAAGGCCGGTCACATGATCCACTGCTGCCAGCTCGAGTGGCCGTGGCTGGGAGTTCCTGCCGGGGTGTTCTGACCCGGTGTTTGGGGCTGATGATTCCGGTGTGGGCGTAGCTGGGACTGAGCATATCAGAAGATCGGCTCCACGGTTGATGACGTAGGCTGGAGGCTCAAGCTGCTCCCACAGTCCTGTCTACTTGCCAAAGCCATATCGCGCATGTCGCAGTCCAGTTCTCACCCGTTTTATTAATGAGACTCGGGAGCATGGCTACTGCCGGCCTTGGGTTCTGTTTCGATGTGTTCTATCTTTTGTCTTCTTGGGTCTTGGTGGCCGGTATCCTGGGAATCGAGGAGCCGTTTTTTGAGACAATTTCGCTTTGTTTTGAACACATGCTCCACACCTGCTTGACAGGCTTTGGATAACGCACGAGAGTTCATAACGGGCCGCACTTGACAGGACTGTTCATCCAATGGCACCAGCCAGAAGGGCGAATGGTCTAGAAAATATGTATTTTTTTTTATCTTGTGGGAGCCAAGCTTATTAGCGCATTTGACCAGAAACCGGCTTCTAGAGGGGTGCCCATCTTGTGGGTGCAAATATTGGTGGGCTGCGACAAACGTCCAGCCTCGATTGCAGATATAGCTCCTTCAGTTTGGGTGACAAAACTATATTCACTCAATAATGGTGTTTGCTTTAAAAAGCAGGAGTTGGCTGTCAGCCCAACAGCATACAATGAGAGATTGCCCGAGAGCTAGCATGCTATTGATATGCTACCGAACATTGTTTCCTGTCTCCTGTGCCCCTGTTATGCATACACTTCTTCCCGGCCCGTTTCTTCGAAGTCCAGAAGATGTGTATTTCCAGCCCATTCCACCGCGTCGCTTATTTACCGACAACATTGTGGGCGAAAAGTCTGAACGTTCCAAATTTCGCGGACAAGTGATGATCAAATCAGGAGTGAAGCAGTCTGAGCTTGTCCTGTGCTGTGGCTGAAGTCTGCAATCTGCATCCAGCCACAAACATGCACTTAGCATCTAGATTATTGTTTTCGACGCAGCCTTGCATTGCGGACAGGGGCTACATCCAAGTTCACAGCATACTCGGCCCCATCCGAGAACAGAGTATATGAATTTCGTGGAGACCGAACCGGCGCCAGGAATTAGACAAGTGTTTTGATGTCCTCTTCGTGTCGGCAGTTATCGCAAAGGGAGCATTTTTGCCGTCGTCTTAATAATCCCTTTGCGTCCCAACACAAGCGTCATGTCAAGACCCATCGGCAGTAGTTGCCTGAGATGCTTTGGATATTGCAGACCTTCATTATTCCCATCCAATTACACGCATGTTCTGGATTCCAACTAACAGATCCTCCGTCCCTAATTTTCTGGATCCCCAGAAATCACATTTCGTCCCGTCCTACATCCTGGATCTCCAAGCGACATATCTACTGTCCCATGCATGTTCGAGACCATGCCCTTAAAAAACACTAGCTTGATCCATAAATCCTTTAGTGACGTTCCAGCCCCGCGCCAATATCCCAGCCCCGCCCATTCCTGCCCAAGCCTTCCGCAAAGAATCTGCTTCATTTGCTTGCCCAGCCTCGCGCGCCGTTCTGTTATTACATACGCGCACTCTTCTCCATACAAACCAAGCACCAGCCGAAAGATATAAACACCGGACAAAAGCACCAAGTGCCACTATTTTCCACAGCAACACCCGCGCATCCAGCAGCTGGACGAGCGTCGAATTCTAGACCGCTCAACTTGTCAGCTCGCCTCATTAACAATGAAGGTCGAGGAGCTCATCATCGACGGGTTCAAATCGTATGCCACCAGAACTGTGGTCAGCGACTGGGACCCGCAGTTCAACGCCATCACCGGCTTGAACGGGTCGGGAAAATCGAATATTCTAGACGCCATCTGCTTTGTGTTGGGTATCGCATCCATGGCGACGGTCAGGGCGTCCAACCTCCAGGACCTCATCTATAAGCGGGGCCAGGCCGGCGTCACCAAGGCCTCGGTAACCATTGTGTTTGACAACCTGGAAAAAGAAAAATCGCCTATAGGGTTCGAGAACTCGCCCAAAATCTCCGTCACGCGACAGATCATTTTGGGCGGCACGTCCAAGTACTTGGTCAACGGCCACAAGGCGCAGCAGCAGACCGTGCTCAACTTATTCCAGTCGGTCCAGCTCAACATCAACAACCCTAACTTTTTGATCATGCAGGGCAAGATCACCAAGGTGCTCAACATGAAACCGCAGGAGGTTTTGGCCCTCATCGAGGAGGCCGCAGGGACACGGACCTTCGAGGACCGGAAAGACAAGGCCTTGAAGACCATGGCCAAAAAGGAGGCCAAGCTCCAGGAGATCCGCAGCTTGCTCCGCGAGGAAATCGAGCCCAAGTTGGAGAAGTTGCGCTCGGAGAAGCGTGTGTTCTTGGAGTTCCAGAAAGTCCAGACCGACCTCGAGAAGCTTACGCGCGTGATCGCCAGCCACAGTTACCAGCTTAAGTCTGCGCAGTTCCATCGCTATTCGACGGTGCGCTCCGAGCACGAGCACATCATGGGCGACTTGAATTCCCAGTTGCAGAGACTCGCGTCCGAGGTGCAGAACTTGGCTGTGGACCTCGATCTGGTGAAAAAACAGAAGGAGTCCGAGCTCTCGGAGGGAGGGCTCATTGAGGTGCTTCAGCGCGAAGAGACCCGCCTTTCGGATGACATTACCCGCATGGCCACCTCTGCCGATCTTTCCTCGGAAACTGCCCGCGAGGAGGTGGCTAAGGTGGCCGCCTTGAAACTGCTGCTCCAAACTTTGCAGGATCAGGCTGCCAACTCCGCCGACATGTTTGCTTCGCTCGAGGCCCAGTACAACGAAAGCAAGCAGCGCTATGAGGCCATGAAGGAGGAGTACAACAAGAAAGAGGAACTTCTATCGACCTTGTCCACTGGCGTCACTGCAAAAGGAGGCGCTGATGGCGGCTACATGTCGCATCTCAAACAATGCAAGGACGACTTGAGCAACAGCCAAAACTTCATCTCCAAGTCGAGGTTGAAGGTGGCACACTTGCGAGAAAAACTCAAGAACGACGAGGCCCGCCTCGCTCTGGCCAAGGAGGACAGCAAGGGGCTCCTTGCGCAGGTCCGAGCTTACAAAGAAGAAATTGCAATGAAAGAGACCAAATTCCTCGAGCAGGGCTTTGATTTCAAAACATACAACGAGCTACGGGATCAGGAGAGCATGATCCGCAAGCAGTTGGATGACTACCAATACCAGCTCAACGGGATCAAGAGAGAGGTGGGCAACATCGACTTCCAGTACTCAAAGCCGTACCCGAACTTTGATTCCAGCTCCGTCAAAGGCATTGCTATGCAATTGTTCAGCGTGTGCGATAAGGAATCGGACAAGGCAATGGCCTTACAAGTATGCGCCGGTGGCCGGTTGTATAACGTTGTGGTGGACAGCGCAGACACTGCATCTGCTTTGCTCGAGCGTGGTAATTTGCGGCGGAGAGTCACTATCATCCCTCTAGACAAGATCAAGGTGTGGTCCCTTCCCCACAACAAGGTAGTCTATGCGAAGAACAAATGCCCCGACAAGGTGGAGCTAGCATTAAATCTCATCAATTTTGAGGAAGAGCTTTTCAAGGCCATGTCCTACATTTTCGGCTCCACCTTTATTTGCGCAGACCCGAACACGGCGAAGGAAATCACATTCGACCCGAAAATCAGGGCAAGATCCATCACGTTGGATGGCGACGTGTACGACCCTGAAGGCAACTTATCTGGCGGTTCGAGAAAAAACAACTCGTCGATTCTACTCAAGATGCAGCAGCACAATCAACTTTCTCAGAAAATTTCCCATCTTGTCAAAAAGCATGACCAAGTCTGTCGAGAACTAAACCGGCTCGACCTGCTAAGTCAAAGCACAAAATCTTTGCAAAACGAGCTAAACTTGACTAAACACGAGCTATCTTTACTCGAGAGAAAGATGGAAAATAGCCCAGCGACCAGCATCATCAAAGAAAGCGAAATCAATACCCTAGAAATCGAAAAGCTTGAAGAGCTTATACGTGGTGAAGAGGAGAACAGTGCAAAGCTTGAGGAGCAAATCACTAAGATCAGCAATGATATTAAAGAGTTCAACCAAGACAAAGGGTCAAAGCTCAAAGAACTAGAAAATGAGCTCAAGGGCTTGAGAAAGCAGATTACCAAGGAGGATGACCTCGTCAAGAAAAGCAGCGACGAATATCAGAACTTGCAAATTGAAGTGGATCAACAAAAGATAGACATTGCGTCATTCAAAGAATCCATAGAGTCGCATGAAGAGACTTTAAAAGATGTGAATTCAAAGATAGACGAGACATCTATCTCTCTTAGCGAGAAAATTGCAGAGCTTGAAGGCATTCGCGCAAAGCTCGAGGATGAAAAGGCGAAAATGATTGGTTTCAACGATGAAATCAACGAATTAACTAGTCTCATCACCGACAAGAACGAGGAAATGAACCAAGCCAAGCTCTCATTACAGAAGTTGAATCACGATCTCGAGAAGGCAAACGGGGCAACTTCGGCTTTGAGATCTCAATTGGATGAACTCATCAAAGAGAACGAATGGTTGACTGACGAAAGTGTGGTCAGTGGGATTATCCAGCAATACCCTGACGTGAATCTTGCAGAATGTGAAGCTCAGGCAGCTGTCCTAGGCGAAAGGTTCCAAAACATGAAAAGGAAGGTGAACCCGAACATCATGAGTATGATCGAAAATGTCGAAAAGAAGGAAGCTGCGCTAATGCACATGATCCGCACGATTGTCAAAGATAAGTCAAAGATAGAGAATACTATCGACAAACTCAATGGCTACAAAAGAGAAACCCTTGATGCTACCTACAAGAAAGTGTCGGAAGACTTTGGAAATATCTTTTCAGATCTTCTTCCGGGCTCATTCGCTAAATTGGTGCCTGTGAATTTTCTAGACGTCACCAATGGTTTGGAGGTGAAGGTGAAATTGGGACCCGTTTGGAAAGAAAGTTTAGTGGAATTATCTGGTGGACAAAGATCCTTGATAGCATTGTCCTTGATTATGGCATTACTCCAATTCAAGCCTGCCCCCATGTACATTCTCGATGAGGTGGATGCGGCGTTGGACTTATCACACACCCAGAACATAGGGCATTTAATCAAGACCCGATTCAAGGGGTCACAATTCATTGTGGTGTCGTTGAAAGAGGGCATGTTTACCAATGCGAATAGAGTGTTCAGGACCAGGTTCCAGGATGGTACGTCGATAGTGTCTTCGATGTGATTAGAGCTAACGAAAGTATTCGGGAATTCATCAATCATATAGTAGAATAAATACAGGATCTCATTAGTCGCCATTGCATGAATGAGCGCATTTTTGGCTTCTTCTTGAAGATCAGTCGTTCTTCTTAGCACTCGTGCTATGCAGAGGTCGTTTCTCTTCCGACACGTCGGTTTCAATTGCATCTGGCACTTCTTTATGTTCGTCCTCATCGGCAAACCTCAAGCTTTTTCTCTTTCTGGTGAGATCTGGGGAAGAGTTTGCAACGGAGGTGGAAAATGTGGAGGGCGAGCCGTCGCTAACATGGGCAGTCGCCGAATCGAACACCAACTCGGCGGTTCTGATCCATCTCCGGCGGCGGGTGTACTTCGAGTAGGAGTCGTCGGTGGTGGGCTTTTTCCACACATTGTCGGTGTAGATGAAGCCCTCGTCGTTGGTGGGTTTCACCGTTGTTTTGGAGCGCTTACTCGAGGGAAGCACAATGGCACCATCATTGGTGAGGTCCAAGCGCCATGTCTTGTCCACCCACCTCCAGCGGGCGCCGGAGATGGCCGAGTGCAGCTGGAAGTCCTGTTGCAGCTGGGAAAAGCTGGAGTCCGCGTTGGGCAACTCGAACGAGTCAGTGGACGAAGACTCGTTCAAGAACTCGTCGGTCCACGGCGCGCGCTCGTAGGTGAGCAAGTTGGACGTCCATCCGATTCCTAGCCAGCGGCGCTGGTTCTCGTAAATGACGTAGGTGAACCTGACCGGCTTCGAGCCGTCCAGGCCCGCGGCGGAGGGCGAGACGCCCGTCTTGTGCACTTTGGCAAAGGCCGCGGCAAAGAGCGAGTTGTTTTTCGCTTGCGAGAAGTCCAAGCCGGTCAAGTAGAAGCAGAGCACACGCGAGATCTTCAACTTCCACACGAGCTTGCGAGTGACGCACATGTGGGGCAGGTGGTACGAAAGGAGAAACAAGCCGATGAGCAAGAGCACGGAGCGCGGGCTGATGAGCAAGAACGTGGCGACCAAGTAGAGCGGCGTCAAGAACACCGTGGTGAAGAGGAGCCGCTTGATGTCGTAGGACGTCAAGGCCATGGCGGTCACCGGGCTGAGCAACAAGTCGGCCTTGATGCAGGTGGCGGTGAGCGCCTGGACCACGTCGTCTAGCGTGGGGCGCAAGCTTGTCTCCTCGAGGATCTTGCTGTTGAGAAGCGAGTACAACACCACCACAAGCACGAGCAAGAGGTGGCCGGTCCACGTGACCAAGGCCTCGAAGTAGAGCACGGCCAAGGTGTAGGCCAACATCAGCACCACGTTGACCCAGTAGTCGTCGTTTGTCCACGTGGCCACCAGCAAGGTCTTGTTCACGATGAGCAAGTAGGGGTACGCTCGGATGAGTGCCTTGGCCACGGTGGGCGGCGTCAGCGAGAGAAGCGGGGACGTCTGCGGCTGGATGTTTGAGGGGGGCGGGGCCACGATGCCGGTCGAGGCAAACTGGGCCCGGAGCTCGCCGTCGCTGGACGTGGCCGGCGGCTGGATGTCCTGTGGTTTAGGCACGGGGTCGGCGTCGCTCATTCTGCAGACCGGGGGCTGTAAAAACGCTGTTTACAGGTGTGCGGGCGGGTCCCAAAAAGGGCCGGGTCTGAAAAAGGAAAAGGGCCGGGTTCTAGAAAGAACAGGGCCAGGTGTGGAGCAGGGCCAGGTGTTGGATCCGGGAGTCAATGTAAACAGGAGGAGAGGGGCCGTTTCCCTTGGCTTGGCGTTCGCTGGGTTCACGGTGTCTGCGTGTTTAGGATTCGGGCCACACACGCAATTGGGCGGCGGCTGGGTGCTGTTGGTGAAGAGAGTAAAGCACAGAAGGAGGGTTGTGTGGAGAAGAAGGGAGGTTGAGTTTCCTGGTGCACGGGTCTGCGGCAGTCTCTTGTTGCGGGCCGTGGCCCCAGGTGTGCGAGGACGTGGAGCCTGGCGCCGTTATGGGCAGGCGCCGTTATGGGCAGGCTTGTCCTGAGATTGCGTTTTTGGTTACGTTTGTTTCCGTTTTTTGTTTTGGTATTCGTTCATGTTTTTGTTTGGTTTTCATCTTTGTTTGCCTTTTGGCCTTCATTCTGGTGTTCATCTTTGTTTTCATTGTGGTTTGCATCCTGGTGCTTTTTAGTCTACGTCTTGTCTGGGAGCCTGGGGCCTGGGCTGACTGGCTCGGTGCGTGCTCATTTCCACTTATTAGATATATTGGCCCCAGCACAGCGCACCAGCATTTATCCAAACACACGCCAAAAAACAGCAGCACCCCCATTTTCGCCCCGGGGCATCGGAATCGGCCCCGGCCCACCCGGCCCCTTCCAACTGCCAGGCTCACCCAAAAACACGCCGTTTTCACCGTGCCCTGTTCCGGGCCGTTCTCGCCTAGACGTCCCGGGGCCAGTTCTGCACAGGACACCCGAGCATCACCATGCCCATCTGCCTTCTTTGCCATGGACATCTCCCAACTCCTTGCCCAGCAGCTCCAGCAGAAACAGCGCCAGCGGCAGCGCGCCAAGCAGCAAGGCACACCAAAAGAAACGTGCCCCGGCCGTGGTGACAAACCGCAGGGGACGCCCCAGGCCCAGCAGAACGAGCAAGGCCCTGAGGCGGGCCAGCCGGATCCACCCGTCTCCACCGAAACCGACGAGGCACGGCTCCTCGACTCGATCGACGCGGACAAACTCGCGGAAAGCCTCCGCCGCCTCGACGAAAACGGACAGGGGGGCCTGAAGGCGGAGCAGCTCCGCAGACTCCAGATCCACGTGCGCCACGAGAAGAAGGACCTCCGGTACAAGGCGTACTTGGACCGGGAAACCCGCGTGCCGGCGCACATTGCCCTCGCGGACATTGCCGCGCAAAACAGCGCCACGTTGTGCTTGCAGATCCGGCGCTTTTTCAAGGAGATCCTCCAGACATGGACCCTGGCAACGGACGTGCGGTCCGCGGACCCGGTCCTCTTGGAAACCAAGCGGGACATCGTGAAGCTCATGTACAAGCTCCGCAGCGGCTCGCTTCCGCAGGAGACCGTCGTGTCGCTCTCGACAATCGTCTACTACATCCAGACCGAGAACATCGTCAAGGCCAACGAGGCCTACTTGAAGCTCAGTATAGGCAATGTGGCGTGGCCCATCGGCGTGCGGGACGTGGGCATCCACGCCCGTGCCGCGGACGCCAAGATTGCGGGCGACGACAAGAAGCAGCTTTCAAACATCATGAAGAGCGAGGCCACGCGGCGCTGGCTCATTGCGGTCAAGCGCATCGTCAACTACTGCGCCCAGCTCCATGACGGCAGAGCCTGAGGCGCGGGTCGTGTGCCGCTGGGTGGCACAGTGCTGGCTTGGAATGCGGGGCGGGTCTGTCCGTTATTGTCGGGACAACGCTGCTCGAGACAGGAGCGTCTAGGAGTTTGGAGTCTGGGGGTCTGGGATTTTGAAAAGTGCTAGTATTTCAAAGATTGCTAGTATTCAGGAGAGTCTAGTATTCAGGAGAGTCTAGTATTCTAAAGAGTGCTAGTATTTTAGTGAGTGCTATGATTTCGAGAGTCTAGGATTTTGATAGTCTGGGATTTTGGAGTCTGGGATTTTGAAAAATGCTAGTATTTCAAAGATTGCTGGTTTTCGGGAGTCTAGTACTTTGAATACTGCTAGTATTCAGGAGAGTCTAGTATTCTAAAGAGTGCTAGTATTTTAG